GGTCTCGCACTTCGTGGGCATCGACGGCGTGCGCGCCTTCCTGCAGTCCTACTCGCACGAGGTGTCTCTCACGGCCGACTCTCGCAAGAGCCAGCTGCGCTTCTCGGGCGCCAGCTGCTGCGACACGCTCCCGGCCCGGCCGCTTCCCGACGAGCCCGCGCCGCTGCTCGGGGACGAGGATCCTGCTGGCGCTTGCCCCGTGGATCTCTCTGCTGTTCCGGTGAGTTCCTCCCGCAGGAAGGCACAATTTCTTCCAGGGAAGTGCTGTTTCGTTTTGGTAGGAGACGGTGGACATGTGGTCAGTTGTCGAAGGTCTTGGAAGTGAGGGTACTCCCGAGTGGAGTGTCATTCGGCTCTTCGATTTTTTTTAATCTGCTGCCGGGTTTGTCCCCTTACCAATATAATATAGTTTTTTTTCTCTCAGTCTTAGCTCTTTCTAATTAATGTATTGCGTTGGTAGGTAAAGAAAATTACTGTTATTAGCAGAATCAGATGTCCACATGTGATTGGGTGGGGTGGAATCCTCTGTAATGTAATGGTGGCATCGTTTTTGTCACCTCCAAGCTTTTACTTTTCTTCATGATAAGCCAATGAGCATTCATACACGTTCTGATCTTTGTGTACCTTCTGGATAAAGGTCTGTGATTATGTATGACGGGCCACTGGAGGGAATAGACTTGCTGATTCTCTGTCTTTCGAGTTAGTTTTTTTTTGTAAGAGCTACATATGCCTTAGGTTGCAAAATTCTGTTATGGCAAGACCCCTATTAGGGGAGAAGGGGAGAGATTCATGTTACAGGTGACGAGGTGAGGTGGGGAAGATTGCCCCTGTGCTGATTCTCACCATCTTGGTCTCTCCTAGAGGACTGCTCCTTTTTGTCTTTCAGAAGTTTTATTCAGTTCTCTCTTGACCAAACAGATGTATCCTCCACCTTCCTTACAGAGATGTAGAGATAGGTGTGAAGTCCGTGGTGTGAAGGTGGTGTGCGTGGTAGAGTGTGGTCACAACGTGACTTCCATCTTCTCAAAGAGGCTTGACTAGGTGACATAATTCCATCTGTATTTGGAGCCCTTGGAGGCTCTTCCTGAGTGTTTGCAGGTTATTGTGCTGCTTCTGACTAATAGCTTAATCGTGCATTTTTGGCAAGTGCCATACTGTGAGCTTTGGGAAGAGGAAACTCTGTGTTCATTCCTTTCTGAAGGAAATCATGTTTCTACTCCAAGAGTCATAATCTAGAAAAGTTGCTGCTGATCTCTTTTTTCTGCATGTGATGCTTGGTTATGAGTTTAAGGTAAAATTAGTCTAAAGATATCTTATTTTTGGTATCACACTGCTCAAAATCTGACAGATCAAGTGGTGGATTAATCAGTCTGCTTTCTTGTAGTATGATATTTCCTGTGAATATGGAGCAGTTATGGAGCATCAGCCTACAGTGTATGTCAAGGTTTGAAAGTAACCTATCTTCCAAATTGCACAATATGTTGAAGTAGGATGATAATGTCTTTGAGGAGCTACTTTGATGACCGGGGTTTTAGCAGATGTGCGTGTTGCTTAATCAATTTAAAACATTTTTAAAATTTTGGAAGTATCATAATGACCAGAGATACCTCTTTGCATTCATCCGTGTTGTGGTCCTTATTCTCACTAAGGAGAAGCTGTGTGTTGGACTTTTCTCTCACAGTGACTTGTGTTGATAGAGCAAGTGAAAACCTTTCCTCTGGTATAATTAGAAAGTACTATTAGTATGATATATATATACTATATACATACATACATATATATACTATACTAGTATATATATACTAGTACTATTAGTACTAGTATAATTAGAAATATATAAAGATGATGTAGAAATTCAGTTTGTCGTAGTTGTTATATGAGGCCCACAGTACTGGTTTTGTGTGTTTTCTCTTTTTTACTGTCTGAAAAAATTATACCAGTGAACCATGGCTGTGGTCTTCGGTGTGAGCTCCCATATGAATGTTTTGTTGACTTTTTACTGACTAGATATCCTTCTTATCTGCCTACTACTGAAATGCTAAGGTGTTGAAACTTGCTGAGGAAGTCATCTCCCCTTTCTGCTAAAGGTACATGGTCTGATCAGGTTTCTTTTCTGTGCCTCTGGGAGTTTTATTGCATGTTCTTGCAACTTATGAGGCTCAGAGAACACTATGTAAGTTCAGAAGGTCTGGTGATACGAATCATGGGAACTGTGTGTGAAGGTCTCTTGAAAGACACAAGAAAAATGGTTTGTCCTTTTCCCTGACCAGTGCCCGGTTGTAGTATCATGCAATGTGAGTTTCATCACCCCAAAATGTTTAGCTAGGTGACATCTTATTTGATATGTATAGGAGGTTCTTCTTATGTGTTTGTATCTTTTCACCAGTTCTTAACTCACAGCTTTAATATGTATTTATAACAAATACCATAATGGAAGATTTGGGAAGATCAAACACTTCACTTACTACCTAATAAATACTGGAATTATGTAGCTAGACTAGGTGCCATAATCTAGAAGAGCAGGCTGTGATCCCTTCCATTGTACATGTGATAACTTGTTGTCTTGCTTGATCTGAGGAGTCAAAGGTGGGCCTTTGTCTCTGAGAGTGTGTGGAAGATCACATCTGTTACATTTTTCTGACTGCATGTCTTTCATATTTTCAGATCTAACGGAAAAGGCTTGCATAAATGTCTTCCCTCAAAATATCACTCTAAGAATGCTCTTTCTTGTTAAATACTCATGATGAAAAGTCAGTGCAAGATCAGTGAAAGACTGGCCTCAAAGTGGGAAAAGAAGGGATTGTATGCTCCACCTGGCTCAGTGTGTTTTCACAGCACTCCTAGTGCCAAGGTGAGTGTGACTTACACAATTCCATCTTTTCCTGTATCCTTAAAAGAGACAATCTTAGATGAATTTGTCTGCAGACATACCATGAAAGTGCAAACATGCCTTCTAAGAAGGGTCACTTTGCCAGTCATATGTCCTTGTAAGACTGTGATGTAAATTGTTGTACTGAGCTTTCCCCAGCCTTGAACAGCCTTCAGATGCTATTAATGGATCTTGCTCATATGAGACAGCTGCTGATATTTTGTTGGTATTAAAAATGGTATTTGTGGGGAATGTAGGGCATGGGATGGTAGTTTTGTTAGGAAATTCTGGACTGGGGTCTTGAATATTTCACTTGCCTTGAAATGAGTGTGATGAGCAGAGAAGTTCATATGCATGGATTTTTATTCTCCATAAGGAGAAGTTGTGTGAGAAACACATCTTTTGATGGTTTTCTGTCTGCAATGTGATGTGTGTTGAGTGATGTTTGAGCACACTGAAGCTTTTTGTCTGCACAGAGACAGGACAGATAGAAGAGTTTGCTGTAGTGTAGTTTGAACTGTCTAAAAGGTTGGTATAAACATTCAATTTCCCCTTTTTTATATGGGTCCCATAGTTATGGTCCTGTGCACATTTCTTGTTTTCCAAAGAAATTACTTGGAGAACCGTGCCAATGGTATTTGGTGTAAAGTTCCATGTGATCCTCCTGTTTACTGTTTATGAAGCAGACAATGCTTCTTGTGTATCTACTACAGTTGACATAGTCTGAAATGTTGTGCACTGATTATTCTGTGTCTTTCCTATTCCTTCCTTGTTTCTTATGTTCTACAAGTAGGCCTTGGTTTGGCTGATAGCCTTGGAAAGAAGAGATCTGTTCAAATTATCAGGCTGTGGGAGGTGTTCTCATCCATGCCTTTAAGATGTTCAGCTGCCAGCAGAAATACTTTGAGATACGCTATGCTATTTCACTAGAATGCCACTGATTTACATGCTCTTTTGCCTGTGGCTGACATGCAGCCAAACATTGGGTACTCCGATACTGCAATTAAAAGTTGTGAATTGAGAACAAAGAAGGTGAGGGACTAGTTTGGAACAAGGAACATAGGTGGGTCAATGTGGTTTTGGATGAGCAATGGTTTGATTTCATGCCTGGTGCCAAGGCCTTTGCCATTTTTGTTATCCTGGTTTCTCTGTTTTGAAAGAAAAAGGTAGTTATCTGACAATAATGTATTAGAGCTAGAACAATGATGTCTGAGTAGAATAGATTGTGATTCTTGTATGCATCCTTCTTTATCCATCTCTATCTCCCTGGAACGTTATGATACACAGTTTCCTCACAGTCATAATTATACTTGCTTTCAGGCTTCTGTTTTCTTGAAGGTCGTGGTTAATTTTCCCATTTCTGGAGAAAAGGCATTTTGCATTAGAAGGTGTAAGTGTTGGTTTAGAGCAAATTCTCACTTTAATCACCTAAAGCAGGATTTTATATGTGAAGAATATGAAGCAAAAGCTAAAAAGGAGTGTATCATGTATTCCCATAGAAGAGAAAAAGACCCATCATGAAGTGTTTACATTTAAAGCATTTAATTTGTAGGGAGATTAAGAGGCCAAATAGCAGGAAAAAAAAAATCTACATGAGCACTGATGATGATTTAATAAAATTAAATTAGATGTGTACCATGCCATTTGATTTGCTGCTGCTCCATAAATAACTCTTGCCTTGCCTTTTGCTGTAAGCATGACCTCAGGGTGTCTGGTCTTATGGGAAAGGTCACATCTGTCCCTATTGTCCGAGTCCGGATGCAATTCGAAGAGTTGTAGACAATCTCTCAATGCCCGGCTGGAAGCTGCTGAGGTGGGGTGTCCTTCAAGGGCTTGTACTTGGACCAATATATTCAGTATCTTTATCAGTGACACAGCTAATTGGATTGAGCATACCTTCTACAGGTTTGCAGATGACACCGAGCCAAGTGGTAGCATTTATTCACTAGAGGGATGGGATGTCACCCACAGGGACCGTGGCACTCTGGAGGAGTGGCCCCCTGTCCGTCTCATTAAGCTCAATAAGGTCAAGTGCAACATCATGCACCTGGGTCAGGGCAATCCCCTTTCAAGACAAATTTGGGAGATCGAGAGCTGCCTTATGGAGGAGGACTTGGGGTTCTTGTAGATGACAAATGGGACATGAGCTGGCAGTGTGCTCCTGAAGGCCAGGAATTCAGTCATACGGGCTGTGGGCTCTATAGCGAGTAGTGTGGCCAGCAGGACAAGGGAGGTGGTTTTCTGTTTCCTCTGTGCTTTTGTGAGACCTGTTAGAGTCTGTCCAGAGAACGACAATGAAAATGTTCAAAGAGATAGAACATCTCTGCTATGTAGATGCGCTGAGAGAAGCCCTTCCTTCTGAAGAAGAAAAGGTAAAGAGAATACCTGATTGCATTTTTTACTATACAAAATAGGGTAAAAGAAATACGGAGAAAGACTTCTGATAGAACACATCTACATGTGAAGAGGCCACTGGTGTGAAACTGAAACAAAGTAGGTTTAGACTGTTCATAAGGGAGGCATGTTTTTCACTGAGGGTGATGAGACATGGGAACAGATTGCCCAGAGACAATGTTGATGTGTGCTGTTTGAGTGGGTTCAAGGTCTGGATGGAAGGGACTTGGAGAAAGATGACTTAGTGACTTGTAGACTACATGACCTTTAAACGTCCCTTCACAACCAAATAAGTCCCTGGTTTTATCTGGATATTTCCCATTGTCATCCCCTCATACACAAAAACAAAAACAAAATTAAAAAGAGGAAACTTGTGTGAATCAGAGAAAAAGTAGTAAAATTTAGTGTGATCTGATTATGAGGGTAATTGTCACTTCTCCCTTGTTCTTGTTACTAAGAGAAAAAATAGCAAGTGTCAGAAACTTGCATGAGCGAAAGAAACAATTGCAGGGAAGAAAAAAATGTTCTGTAGGCCCAACATGGCAGGTTTGCAATGATTTTTCCTGCAATGGGTTTCTTATTATTAATGACTACTTCAACATAACTATTATCTTCTTGGAATATTCACCAGTTAATATAAGAATTAAAAATATAGAGGAGTGCTGAAGAGTTGTTACAATCTCCCATACCTGTACTATCGTTTCTTCTTCTAATAACTGCATCTTCATTTTATTGAAAGCATCTGACTTGCCTTAATTGTTCTGCCATGGATATTTTCTTCTGCTCGTTGACTGCAAAAAGGGATGACCTAAGAGCACCGATAGCATTTCAGTTTCAAATGCCTTTGGAGTTGCAATAAGCACGTGAAGTATTTTCAGCTTGCTGATTCCAATCTAAGAGAGAGCCCGGAGCCGGTGCAGCCCCCGAGCCCCTCCCAAAGCCGGGCCCCCTTGAGCGCGGCCATCCGGCGGCTGCAGTGGCGTCGCGGCGCCTCCGGGTGTCGCTGTTGGCCGCCAMSGAGCGGCGCTGGAGCCGCCGCCGCCGCAGCGTCCTGTCCCCGCAGGCTGCGCTCGCCCGGCGCCGGCCAGAGCGGCAGCGGCACGGGCAGCAGCAGCGGCGAGAGGCGGCGCTTGGCGGGCAGCAGCGGCGTCCGGGGCGGCCAGAGCGGCCTCGCTGTGCTGCGGCGGCCCCTGCGCTNTGCAAGGGAGGCGGGGCAGCGGCAGGAGGCAGGAGCGCGGCGAGCGCTGCCAGAAGACAATGGCGGTGAGGCGGCGGCRGAGGCTCGGGCCGGGCGGCGGGCGAGCGCTGCTGGCCGCGGTGCTGCTGTGCCTGTGCTGCCGGGCGGCGGCGGAGCGGGTCCGCTACTCCATCCCCGAGGAGCTGGGCAGAGGCTCGCTCGTGGGGCCGCTGGCGCGGGATCTGGGGCTCAGCGCGGACGAGCTGCCGGCGCGCAAGCTGCAGGTGGCGTCTGCTGGCAAGAAGCAGCTGAAATATTTCACGGTGAATGAGGAAAACGGGAACCTGTACGTGAATGAGAGACTGGACCGGGAGGAGATGTGCGGCAAGTCGGCGTCCTGCTCCGTCAGCTTCGAGGCTCTGGTGCACAACCCGCTGAACGTTTTCCACGTTGAGGTAGCCATTCAGGACGTGAATGACAATGCGCCGCGCTTTCGGCGAGATAAATTTTATATGGAGATAAACGAGCTCACTTCTCCCGGTGCCCGCTTTGCCGTGGGCATGGCTGACGACGCGGACGTGGGCAGTAACTCGCTACAGGGCTACGAGCTGGAGAACAACAGGTACTTCGTGGTAGAAGTGAAGGAGAGTCAGGACGGCAGCAAGTTTGCAGAGTTGGTTCTGCGCCGCGTGCTGGACCGAGAAAGCGAGCAGAACCTCCACCTGGTGCTGACAGCGCTGGATGGCGGGGACCCGCCCCGGAGCGGCACCGCCCAGCTCTGGATCAACGTCACCGACGCCAATGACAACCCACCCGTGTTCGCGCAGGATCGGTACCGCGTCAGCCTGCGAGAGGACGCGCCTCCGGGACTGATTGTGCTGAACGTTTCTGCCTCCGATGCTGATGCCGGCACCAACGCCCGCATCACCTACGGCTTCGGGGAAACGCCGGCTGAGCTGCTTCAGAAATTCATTGTGGAAGCGGAGACAGGGACGATCACTCTGAAAGAGCCTCTGGATTTCGAGGACACACAAAGTTACACGCTGTTGGTGGAGGCAAGGGACGGAGGCGGACTGGTGGCGCACTGTAAGGTGGAGGTGGAGGTGCAGGATGTGAACGACAACCCGCCTGACATCACGCTGCTGTCGGTGTCAAACCCAGTGGCCGAGGATTCGCCGGCCGGCACCGTGGTGGCTCTCCTGAACGTGAATGACCTGGACTCCGGCGAGAACGGTCAGGTGTCGTGCGAGCTGTCGGGAGAGGCGCCGCTGTCGATCGTGGCGTCGTCGGGCGGCTCGTACAAGGTGGTGACG